AGTTATGGACAGTTGTTAGCCGCCATGTGGGTGCTGGGAATTGAACCTGAGTCCTCTGTAAGTGCAGACAACGCTCTTAACTGCTGAGCCAGCTCTCCAGCCCCAGGTTTAATATTTTTCATAAAAGTTACAGAGGGGCCCTTCATTCAATTTGGGCCAGGCAGAAGCTGCTTGTCACTTGCATTTTGATGGCTCCTATAAAGAAGGGCAATGAGAAAAAGAAGGCAGTTCAGTAGTCAAAGAGGTGGTGACCTAAGACTACACCATCAACATTCACAAGTGCATCAATGGAGCGGACTTCAAGAAGATTCACCTCAGGCACTCAAAGAAACTGAAATTTGCCATGAAGAAGATGAGGACTTCAGATATATACATTATACCAGGCTCAACAAAGGAATAAGCAATGTTCTATGTGATATCCACATATGTTTGTCCAGAAAAAATGAGAAGGATTCACCAAATGAGCTATATTCTTTGGGAACCTGTGTCCCTGCTACGAAAATCTACAGATAGTGAAGGCAGGTAAGAACCAACAGCTGAGTGACAAACTTGTAAAACTGTAAAAAGAAATTGAAAAATAATTGCAGAGGGGACACCTGGACAAAGAAAGGTTAAGAACCAGCAGACATGGGGCTAGAGAGGTGGCTCACCAGTTAAGAGCAGTTACTGCTCTTCCAGATGGCCCAGTTTCAGTTACCAGCACCTACATGGCAGCTAGCACTAGCCTGCAACTCTAGTTCCAGGGGATCTGACACCGTCTGGCCTCAGCTGGCACTAGGGACACAGGTGGTACACATGCATACATGCAGGTAAAACACTCATACACATACAATAAAAATAAATAAGATTTTTATTTAAAAAAAAAACCAGCAGTTAGGGTTGTAGTACCACTCTCCACTCCATTTTCTTCCTTGCTTACCTCAAGGAACACATGTTTATTCAAAAACACACAGAACTGTTTGGTGTTTAATAACAGAAGAGTGACTCCCATAAAACCCAACAGATGTCAGAGCCTTAAGGATGACAATCATCAGGACAGGCAATCCATACCAACTATCACTATCATTTCTTCCTTCTTACCACCTAGAAAATGGTAGTGAGAGCTGGTGCTCTAGCAGCCATATTTAGGCCATTCTGTGACTCTGGGAAAGTAATCTATATACAGAGAAATGCAACATAACAGAGACCAGGTCTCAAACACTACCAAGTCAATACACCAAAATGGAGTATGTGTGAAATGTTTCACATATAAAATTCAGCAGTGCCTTAAACCGCTATTTTTTTCCATGCCAGGAATTAAACCCAGGGTTTCATGAATTCTAAGCATCTGCCCTACTACTAAGCTACCCCATTAGCCCTTGAAGTTTTTTGCAATATAGAACATTAAAAAATACAAGCAATACACATTCACTCATTCAGCACTACATGTTGGGATCTGTTCAAGTTGTCATCTTATTTTCCAAAAGAAAATCACTAATGGTACAATTATTTCTGCATACACTTTGAAGAGTTTGGACTTACTTAGTTTAGCCATAAACCAAATACTAGATTCCCTTATTTGGCCCTTTCAGAGGTATGCACTAGCTTATGTATGCAAAGTCAGTAACCAGTCATAGGCTGGTCACTGAATGCTGATCACACTCAGTGAATGCTGAGCAGAGCTCACTGAACACTATTGGTGATGACTATACACCAGGAATCATCTGAATAACCATCAATTGGAAAAGGTTAAATGAATGGACAATTATGCTTTATAGCAATTGCAAGGATAAGGAAAGGTCAATCATTACTTACATAAAGCAAGCTATAAGACATTAACACCCAGCATAAAACCATTATGCAGAACACCAATGCAGACAAAAGATGCATTTCCCTATAAGGCCATAGACCACATCATCTCGGCACCAGTGGATAATGTGAGGAGGGCACTGAGATTATGGGAAAGGAGAGCAGGTGCTCAAGGAGCCGCCTTTTGCTGCAATTTGAATCTTCTGAGCATGTACATCTTATGCGATTATTATTTTTATGTGTATGAGTATATTGCCTGCATGTATGTAAGCGCACCCATGTCATGCAATGCCCATAGAGGTCAGAAGAGGGCATTGGATCCTCTGGAACTGGAGTTATGGATGGTTGTTAGATGCTATGTTCTGGGAACTGAACCTGGGTCCTCTGTAAGAACAGTTAGTGCTCTGAACTGCAGAGCCATTTCTCCAGTCCCTTATGTGATTATTTTTAGAGACTACAGACATTAATAGGCAGAGGAAAGGGGAGATATGAATTTGTGGGGAGGAATGGGAAAGATAAAAATGTTTTTTCCTGTTAGAGCTGACAGGGTTGTGACCCCTAGCAAAGGAGATTTCTCCAGACATTAACCCACAGTTCTCTGCAGTCTCATAAATGTATAATTTATTCTTCCCACCACTCCTATTAATGGCTTTAAATAAAATCATTACATGGTCACAGATTAAGTATGTAAAACATTTTCTAAGCAAGATAAATGGAATATACCCATCTCCTATTTTAGAGAGACCTTACGTGTTGGAGGCTTTTCGAGTTGCTAAGATAGGATGGTATGTCATAAACTGGGTAGCTTATTAACAACAGAAATTTATTTCCCATAATGCTGGAGGCTGGGAAGTCCAAGATCAAGGGACCCTCAGATTCAGTGTCTGGTAAGGGCTAACAGTGCCTGATGGTGGCAAGCTTCTCCCATTCATGCCAGCTCTGACCTTATAACCACATCATTTTCTAAAGACCCCCCCTCCAAATCACATCACATTGGGAATTATGTTTCAACATTCAGTCAGCAGAGCATTCTATTAAAACTTTATCCTCCTGTGGGATGAAGAAGAATAAAAATGTCTAGAGCGATTTGATGCGAATGTAGAGGTTAAAGTTCAATAGGAGTTCATCCTAGGCTATAATGAACAGATGCAGAAATTTGTCTGATAAATCCTAAAACATCTTCAAATATTGGCTCATTTAACAAACAAGCATTTTCTTAGATTTATTTTTATTTTAAATTATATGTATGTGCGTGCAGGTACATGTGAATGCAGGTGCCTGTGAAGGTATTGGATGCCCATGAGATTACAAGGCAGTTTTGTGTGAGCTTCATGATGTGTGTGCTGGGAACCAAACTGTGGTCCTCTGGAAGAGCAGTATTTGCTCTTAACTGCTGAGCCATCTCTCCAGCCCCAAAAGGAAGTATTTATTAGGCATCCAGCATCTTGAGAGGCTGGGCCACTTCCTGCAGGACACATCCTAAATATCTGTTATCCTTATGGGACTCCCAGTCTAGTCTGGGGGTAATGGCAAATGTATAGGGAACAATTCAGTTACATTAATAGCAGAAAAAAAAAAAACCCACAAAAGCTCAAGTGTTCCTGGAGGAACAGTCACAGCATCATCTCCTTCGGGAAGCATCTCTTGGTGGTACCTGAGATCCTAAATTCCAAATCTGCATTTTCAGCAGGTCCTCTGGTGATGTAGATGCTTATGAAGACTTGAGAAGTGACAAAGTGTGAAGAGTATAGAAAGAAACAAAACTGATTCCCTGCAAAGTTCATAGAGGCCTTCCATTTGGTGGACAGCATGGACACTGAGGGCTGGGAAATGAGGATCAGGCCAGGAAGAGAGACTGACGTACTGAAGATTCTGGAAGTCACAAAGTTTCAAGCAGGCAAGCAGCAGGATCAGATTCTCACGTTTGGACACTCCAGTAGCAGAGTCAAGAAGTGGTCAGAGCGGCATGCAGGCGTTCTTAAAAGAGCAGGAAGTCACAGAATCCTAGGCAGAAAAAAAACAAAAATCACCCCCAAGGGTTCCACCTGTAGCAGGATGTGGATTCCTGATTCTTTCAAAGTTCTCCTAGTGTGGTCCCCAACTAGCACTACTAGAGACTTGGTAGAAATGCATATTCTCAGGTTACATCCTAGATGTGCAGAGCCAGTAGCTACGAAATGTGTGAACAAGCTCTCTGGGTGATTCTGATGCCATTACTGGAGCCTGCCAAACACCCCGTGACAAATGGTAAAGGCTTAGAATTGCCACAACTTGCTCCTTTGTCTTAAAAAGACTAATAGGAAACGGGTTTCTGTGTTTCGTGGGCAGATCAAAAGCTACATACAGGGTAGGTTTTGTATAGCGTCCAGAAAACAAAAACAAAGAAACACACTGACCACCTTGTCCAAAGGTCTCATCTCTAGAGAATTAAAATAGTTTGGGTTGAGACTGTGATGTTCTGGGTTGCCTAAATGAAGTTAGGTAACACCCCAGCTGCAAATTCTTCCATTCTTTTTATTCATCACACACACACACACACACAAAACCACCCTTAGGACTGGGATTCCCGGTGGCCCTGTGAAAACTTTCTGTGCAACCGTCCATTAGAAAAGCACAATCCTAAATTAAAAAGCCTCCAAACGGAGCGAGGCCGCGCGTTCCCACCACACCCCTGCGGGCCGCCGGGCTCCTTCCCTGCCTGCTCCAAAGATAATAAATCACTCCTGTTTTCCAGCCCTCAAATTAGCGCTGACTCACAGGGCACTTTAACGGCCACCGTCGCCTGTGGAAAGAGGAAAAATGTGCAGATTTTCCTCTCACGCGAGGGCCCGACGTGCGAGGCTGGCCAATCAGGGGAGAGTGACGGGAACAGTACCAAAGTAGGTAAAAAATGCAAGATGCCGGACCAGAGCAAGGCTCCTGTCGCCGGTCCTCCGCCCCCAAAACCCCGGAGTCCTACCCGGCCAGACCGCGCTCGCCCCACCCATCCCTCGCTCAGGCCCCGCCCCCTGGTGCGCGCACACCTGGCCAGGTGGCGACTTCCATGTATGGGCAAAGGCCGCGTGGTGGGCGGGGCCTCTCGTGGCCTCTAGTCGCTGAGGGAGGCTTCCCTCATTCTTCCCTCCCTAGGCCGCCTGGGCGGGGCCAGGTCGGGGAACCGGCCTGTTGCGTAGCAACGGCGGGAGGCACGTGACGTGCGCAGCCGCAGTTCGAGTGGAGTGGCCCGCCCGCCCCTCGATAGGCTCCGGGCGTCGCGTCAGCACTGCGCTCGCTCTGTAGGTCCCGCAGCCGCGAGGTGGACGCTACTTAGACTCGGTGCTGCCAGGCTCTCTCCTCGTCCCGTAGTCCGCCGCGGCGAACATGGTAAGTGGCCCGGACTTCTAGGCGTGGGCGAAGGCGGCCGAGTTCCCGAGCGCCGCGGTGTCGGGACCGAGGGCGTGAGCAGCGCTGGCAAAGGAGGACCCGCTTACGGGCCGAGCAGTCGCCCGGCCGGGCCTCGCGCTCCATGCGGCTCTGCAGCGGAGTCGAGCACGGCTTCCTCGGGCCACCGGTCGGGAGGCCCCGGCCTGTATGCGACCTGCCGGGGTCAGGGATGTGGATGCCGAGGTCTGCACCCCTGGGGTGGCCTGGCCGAGCCCGGCGACCGTCCTTTAGGGCGTGGGTTTCCGTCAGGCGGCTCAGTGACCCGCCGCCTTTCCTCCCAAGCGCTGTCCATCTAGAAGGAAATAAGGCTTTTATTGAACCTCCCTACGGGGCGAGACGATTGCTAAGGAGCGTGATTAAGAACAGGGTGGCCTTGCCGTGGCTTTGTTTGTCCTATCTGGCAATCAGCTTCCAGCGCCACCCTCGTTGGGCTTGTCAAGCTTGGCAGTATATCTTTTAACCCTCCCCTGTCCGTCCCGTCCATCTGTAGCTAGAAACTTGTCTTCGCCTGAGAACGTTTTGGCTTTGACACATCTTGGGGCGCTAAGGGGTGGACATGATGCTGCTCTGCTGGTGATGCAGATGTAAAACTTTTAGAAAGTCAGTTTAATTATTCCTAGTCTCTAAGAAAAGAAACATTCGCTTTATTATAAGTGGAGGAGATTTTTTTCTTAATTTACATATTTTTCTACTTCTAAACTGCCAGGCTAATCTGCTGAAAGACAGTGTTTTCAAACTGGAGGATAGGGTAGAACATTTTGTCACTTTCTGTACTGGGCGCACGCTGTTACCATTTTTGGTCAATGATTTGCTGGCAAAGCTTTGCCACGCAGCAAGAAATATTACACTGTTGCTGCGTCTGTGCTCCTGGAAGCTGTTGGTACTCACCTGTGTACAGAATATTTTCACTGAATAACAGGTTTTGTTTTCCTTAAGATTCCTGCAACTGTTTTGAAGAGGCAGGCTGCCTCATTAAGTGAAAGAGAGCGATTAGATGAGTAGTTTCTTGATGATTGGCAGTGTTTAATAGTGGTTTGGTATTAAGTCTTGTTCTTTGGTTTAATGCTGTCAGCTACAAGGAGATCAGTCTCTGAAGTCTATAGAAATATTTTCATTTTCTTTGAGAATTTCATGCAGTGTATTTTAGCCATGCCCCCCCCAACTCTTCCCCTTAGCTCTTCTCACACTGACTCCTACCTCTGTACCTCTCAGCCTCCTGTCCCCACTTTTTAAAAAAGTTAATAACCCATTGACTCCAACTTGTGTTGTCCATATACGTTTGGTCGACCGAGTGGACCATGGTCTTTTCAACTCACTTTTCACTCACAGACCAGGCTGGCCTTGAACTCAGAGATCTGCCTGCCTCTGCCTCCGGAGTGCTGGGATTAAAGGCATGCACCACCACGCCCAGCCTTTATACTAAAAAACTTTATTATAAAGCTTTATTTATTAAAAGCCTTTGACCACTCACTGTAATAAAGGTGCATTGAAGTAGATGAGTGCCTGCTCTAGGGTCTCCTGACTTAACATCTAATTTTTTTACTTTCTAATACAAACTTTATACTCCAAAATAGGGCCAAACATTTTAAATGCTTGAATGTTTAGTTTTAAAGCTTGACTTTCCTGCTGTGTACATTTAAATAAAATGAAGAGTCTGTTGTATTTCCCGGTACTTAGAAGGAGAATTAAAAATTAAAGGTGGATGCATTCTCACATCCAAGTACTAATCAGGTGGAACTCTGCTTGGCTCCTGAGAGCAACCCTTGGTGCTAATAGCATAGACAAAGGGAAGATACTTTTAACCAGTGGATAAAACTCAGTGTTTTGGGCTTTAGGCATAAAGTCAGGAAGCCCTTGCAAGCTACTTTCTTTTGGTTGCTTTTTACATTTATTATTCTGTGTATGGTGTGGGAGGGGTGTTGGCACTTGTGTCGTTGTGTCGTTGTGCTTGTGTCAAGTGGGATCTTCAGGAATCAAACTCAGGTTGTCAGGCTTGCTTGGCAAATACTTTTATCCACTGCTCTATTACAGCTGGTTCTGGACGCCCTGTTTTTTTTTGGGGGGGGGGGACGACAACAGGGTCTCCCTGTTAGCCCCAGCTGGCCTGGAACTCTATGTAAAGCAGACTGGCCTTGATCTTACAGAGATCCGCCTGCCTCTGCCACCTGAGTATTAGGATTAAAGGTGTGCCCCTACCATGTCCAGCTACTGGATGCTTTTTAAGAATTCAGAACACAGACCATTTTTTTTAAAGATTACTCTTATGTTTGGTCTTTTGAGCACAAAGCATCTCCATTTGGTCTAACTATTAAAGAATTTTAGGAAGATCTGAAGAATTCCTCCTTTATTATTCTAGATTTGTTAGTGAGCTACTTGATTTTCTTTCCTTTTCTCAGAAGGGATCTCATTCTGTAATCCAGTGAAGTGAAGCCCAGGCTGGACTTGAGTTTTGGATCCTGCCTTGGTCTCCCAAGTCAAGTGCTGGAAATTTTTTTTTTTTTAGAGTCTTGCTATGTAGCCCAAGCTATCCTAACATTCTACTGTCTTAGCCTCCTGAGTGCTGAGATTATAGGCATGAGCTACTGTGTTTGACAACCCCTACTTTTCTTTCTTTTGGGGGGTGGGGGTGGGGGAGATTAAATTTTAACTGCTCATGGGTTTGTTCTAAATTGATGGAATTCCTTTTGCTCATTAAGTCTTATAGAAGCAAGAAGACATGAGCTTTCATGTTTTCAAATGCCTTGCTACAAAGTCTCACAATACAGTCTCCTCCCCTTGAAGAAAAACCTACCTTTTATTTGCACATGCCAAATAAAACTTTTGTGTGTGTATTTGGGTGTGTCAGCTTCCTCATATGTGCAAAGATTATTTACAGGTGCACCATCAAATTGTAGATTTATTGCTCAGTTGGATAAAGCTTGAACATCATATATAGATTTGGCAAACTCTTTAACCAAGGAATGCATCTGCAGCATAGCTTTATGGCTCTCTTGAAAGTTAAGGTGTAGTTTTGCCCTTTGAAATAGGGTTAAGGAAGATACATGATAATCTAACCCTCAGCTTTACACAGAACTCTGCTCTGATCTGTGAGCTGTGCAAATTGCCTTAGCTGAATTACATATATTCTACAACTTGATGATGAGGAAAAATAAAGGTACTTAGAGCAATCCAGCTAAATAGGCTGGACATGTACCACAGTGCCCATGTGAAGGTCAGAGACAACTTTCTGGGGTTGGTTTTCACCTTCTACCAGGAGGGTCATGGGAATTGAACACAGTTGCAGTTGTCACGCTTGCCAGCAAGTGCCTTTACTCTAAGCCATCTCACTGCCTCAGGGTGTTGGATTTAACTGCTGAATAATATTCCACTCTAAGACTGTACAGGCTTGTCCATTCCTCTATTATTGGGCATTTGGACATTTCTCCAATTTATTTTTCTATTTAAACTTTTTTGCCATAGGTGATTTCCATATACCATTATGATATATTTCTTACCTAGTCCCAGTGTATGTCTCTTAGTATAAACATAAAAGCCCTTGGAGAGAGGGCTTGTATATGTTTTTTCTCCTGTGCTGGAACTATGCTGGTGTGTTCTGTGCTGCATCTATCATCTACAGCCTTGTAGTGGTTTAAATGAGAAATACCCTTCATAGACTTATGTATTTAAACACTGGTCCTCATTTAGTGGAAGTAACTGATAGAAGCCTGTTTCTCCACTTCTTTTTACTTAATATTTTGAGTCTTAAAGCCTTTGCCTAACTGGTTTCTATGTTTGTTTATTAGTGAATTGACTGGGGGTTTTTTCCTTCACATATTGTACCTTTGTATATTCTCTCTCTCTCTCTCTCTCTCTCTCTCTCTCTCTCTGTGTGTGTGTGTGTGTGTGTGTGTGTAAGTGTAATGCTGGGCATAGAACCACATAATGCTAGGCAAGTAAGCCACCACCATGCTATATTCCCAGCTTGTATCTTCTGATTTTTTTGAAAAAATTATTTTATGTCATGTATATGAGTGCTTTTGCAATATCCATAGAGGTCAGAAGAGAGCATCGAATTCCCCTGGAACTGGAGTTAGAGAAGATTGTTAGCCACCATGTGGGTGCTGGAAACTGAACCAGGGTTCTCTGCAAGAGCAGCCAGTGGTCTTAACTGCCGAGCCATCTCTCCAGCCTTGTATCTTCTGATTTTACATATATAATGTATTCTGTGAGCCTGACTTTATCTAAACTTAGTTGTAGAGCTATAAAATCAAGCACTAGGGCGGGGGGAGGGGCACAGACCAAAATCAAGATGATTGTCAATGCAGTCCCTAATACCCATGAGGACTCATATTATTCTGCGTGCATAGTTCCAGGGATGTTAAATTACTAGATCACTGGTATCATACTGTCTCCTAATAGTGGTAGACTGTATAGTAATTCAGTATACAGTTCCTTCTAAGCCAGGGACCACAGAGGTTGGTCTTTTCCATTCTATACTTGTCTCTTTTTCCTAGGTAGTTCATTTAGTCAAAATATTAAAATCAAGCAGAGAAATGGCTCAGAGATTAAGAGCTTTTACTGTTCTTGCAGAGGGCCCAGATTTGGTTCTCAGCATCCACATGGCAGTTTACCGATTGTAACTCCAGTCCAGGGCATCCCATACCCTCTTCTGGCTCCGCAGGCACTGCATTCACATGGTGCATATATACAGATAAGTGGGCGCACACACACCCTACACAAATTTAAAAATAAAGAGCAAACACTTTCTGCTTAAATTTGTTGTAAACTAAACAAAACTTATTTTAAAAACTAAAACATACTTTCAAAAGAACGATGCAGGGCTGGAGAGATGGCTCAGTGGTTAAGAGCACTGGTTGCTCTTGCATAGGAACTGGATTCGATTCCCAGCATCCACATGGTCGCTAACAACTATCCATAACTCCAGTGTCAGGGGATCCAAC